TGCGAGTCGGCGGTGGTACAGGTTTGCCTATTGTTAATGTTGGTTCCGCTTCGTTAGCTACTGATTCTAGGTCTTTTAAGTTACATGATGTTTTACATGTCCATGATCTCTCTTCTTCTCTATTATCTGTCCAGCGTTTTGCAAAGGACAATAATGTTTTCTTTGAGTTTCACCCCCTTTGTTTTTATGTGAAAGACATTTTGACCAGGAAGGTTCTTTTTAAGAGACATGTGTACGGGGTCTCTACACATGGCATACGTCCTCCTTAGCTCCGCGTTTGTTGCTGCGCGATCCTCTTACGTTTGGCACATGCGGTTGGGGCATCCTCATTCTCGAGTCTTACATAAAATTTTAGTGTCTTCGTGTATTCGTACGTTTAATTCTAGTGATCTTCCCAATGTATGTTCCTCTTGTCAATTGGGAAAATCCTCTCGTTTTCCTTTGGCTCGTGTCGAAACTACTAGTACGCATCCTTTGGAATTAGTTTATTCAGATATTTGGGGCCCGGTGCCATTACTTTCTGCATCTGGCTATAAATATTTTGTGTTGTTTGTGGATGATTACACTCGTTATATATGGTATTATCCCATGCGTGCTAAATCTGATTTGTATGCTATATTTGCTAAGTTTCGATCACTCGTTGAACGTTCTTGTTCTCACAATATTATTTCCTTTCAATCTGATTTAGGGGGAGAATATAAAAAGCTTGGTTTCACTCTTGCTTCGCTGGGTATTCGCCACAGGCAATCCTGTGCATATACTCATGAGCAAAATGGTTGAGTGGAACGCAAACATCGTCATGTTGTTGAGACAGGACTGTCTTTAATGGCTCAAGTATCTGTTCCGTCTCGTTTTTGGGACTATGCTTTTGAAACTACTGTGTATCTAATTAATAAAATGCCTACTCGTGTTCTGCCTGATGATTCCCCTCACTTCTGTTTACATCGATCTCCCTCGTCCTACTCTTACTTGCGAGTGTTTGGCTGTTTGTGCTTTCTTGTCCTACGTCCTTATAATCGCAATAAACTCTAGTTTCGTTCATCTCCCTGTGCCTTTCTAGGCTATCCTCCGTCTTATCGTGGCTATCGTTGTTTGGGCACTAACACTAACAAGGTTTTTATTTGTCGCCACGTGCGATTCGATGAGACTGTGTTTCTCTTTGTTTCTCCTATTGCCTCGCAGGTTGCTACACCGCGTTCCGAACCGTGGGCTACTGCACCAATTATGACGGGCCAAGGAAGTGATGTCTCGGCCACGATTACTGATGGCGCTCGGCAGATTCACGAGCCCGTGCGGGCTTCTGGCGGTGATCTCGGTCACGGTCACGAGCAGTCCGCATCGAGTGAGCGAACTGTCTCGGACTAGTAGGTTGAGCGGCACGGCAGGTCGCGCGGACGTCCTCAACGTGCTACTCCGCCTCCTCGGTCGCATAACATGAACACTCGGTGCTCCGGCCGCATCAACATGTTGCCTTAACCACTATTTCCACTATATTGCCTGAGCCTACCTATTACTCTCAAGTGGTCAAGTTTCCTGAGTGGCGTGATGCAATGGACGCAGAGTTCAATGCCTTGGTCCATAATCATACGTGGCGTCTCATTCCATCTCAACCAGGTACGAATGTTATTGGTTGCAAGTGGGTTTTCAAAACCAAACGGAAGGTTGATGGTTCAATAGACCGTCATAAAGCAAGGTTAGTAGCCAAGGGTTTTAATCAAGTTGTTGGAGATGACTTTTTTGAGACCTTTAGTCCTGTGGTTAAACCCACTACGGTTCGTCTTCTCTTATCTTTAGCCGTATCTCGTGGGTGGTCTATTCGCCAGTTGGATATTCACAACGCCTTTTTAAATGGCGAGCTAGCTGAAAATGTTTACATGCGACAACCACCTGGTTATGAGGATAAGTTGTTACCTAATCATGTATGTTTGCTTAAAAAATCCCTATACGGTCTCAAACATGCCCCACGCGCATGGTTCACAAGGCTAAATGATTTTCTTGTCTCTGTGGGCTTCTCGCCTTCTAAGACGGATGTGTCTCTTTTCATCTATTTTCGTGACAATATTCGTCTTTATCTCTTGGTGTATGTTGATGACATTTTAATTATGGACTTTGACTCAGATCGTGTTACTGCTCTTATTGATAAATTAGCACTTGAATTTAAGGTTCGTGATATGGGTGTGCCTTCTTTCTTCTTGGGAATAGAAACTGTCCCATTATCTGGCGGTATGCTTTTATCCCAACAACGGTACATGAAGGATATTCTCAAACGTGCTGGCATGGTGGACTATAAGCCAGTAATCACGCATGTCTCTTCTGCTAAAATCACAGACGATGTGGCCGTTCCCTATGCCGATCCAACACAATACAGGAGTCTTGCTGGTGCTCTCCAGTATCTTATGGTAACTCGTCTGGATCTATCTTATGCTGTTAATCTCTTGTGTCAACATATGCATGCTCCCACTACTACAGACTGGGCCTCTCTAAAGAGAGTCATGCGGTATGTCAAAAGCACCCTGAATCTTGGCCTGCGTATTTCTCGGTCTACATCTATGGATATTCACGCCTATTCTGACTCAGATTGGCTTGCGATCCGAATGATCGCAAATCTACTAGTGGCTTTGCTGTGTTCTTGGGCAGTAATCTTATATCTTGGGTTTGTCGGAAGCAACAGACTGTGGCACGTTCTTCGACTGAAGCAGAATATAAGGGACTCGTTGATGTATCTGCAGAAGTTACATGGCTTGTTTCTCTGTTACACGAAATCGGCATCCCTCTTGCGTCTCCTCCTCGACTATGGTGTGATAATTTAGGAGCAACTTATTTATGTGTCAATCTAGTGTTTCATGCCCGCACGAAGCACATTGAGATTGACTATCATTTTGTTCGCGATAAAGTAGCCAAAAAGGAGTTAGAGGTGCACTTTATTTCAACCAAGGATCAACTAGCAGATATTTTCACAAAGTCTCTGTTGTCTCTTCGTTTTAACTCTCTCCGTGACAAGCTCAATGTTTTGGCTAGCCAACCTTGTGCTTGAGGGGGAGTATTAGGACTATATTATTCATATTAGACTAGGACTATATTATTCGTATTAGATTAGGATTCTATCTAGCATCTCTATATATTCGCTCCCTGTACTCTTGACATTATTTAGAATACAACACAATTATATTTCTCATCATTGTAAGAGTCTTAATTTTTCTTTATCATGTATGGATGGCTCGTAACTCAGTTGTATGGAATTCTTGTTTACAACGGCCAGCTTAAGTTTGGAGGGCAGCATATGCTGTTGTCACGAATTGGACTGCAGCGACGTACGGCCTTGCTAGCACCACTACCAACCTGCCGCCACAGCAGCCTCACCTGGAAAGTGGAGTCTCTAGTTGTTTTGTCGACGCCAGTTTCTCATCCTCTGCAAAATCAACGACTTTTGGTGCGTTCGTGTGCTCTGCCGACGGTGGTTTCATGGCGGCATCAAACAGACTGCTCGCTTTTTGTACCAGTGCTCTTATGGCGGAAGCACTGGCTTGTAAGGAAGTTCTTTCCTGGTTGGAGGATCGTGGTTTATCAGTCATTGCTCTCTATACGGATTGTTCGAGTTTACATCACCTTTTGACGTCTATCGTTTCTAGCCCAAGGTCTCACGTTGGTTATATTCATTTAGTCTCTAGACAATTTAATTTAGTTGCTCATACTTTAGCTTCGCATGCATCCCAACAAACTTCTTCTATGTACTGGACTACTGGTGCTCTGTCCCTCTTGACTTTGTTTATGGGTTTTTTCATTAATCTATAGCTCAGCTTTTTTTGCTTTAAAAAAAAAATATTATGCAACATCCAACTTCTGTATTTAAATTTTTTATTTAATTGTATTATTAAATTTATAATTTATAATTATTAATTAAATTAAATTTTGACATGTTTAATTTAAATATAAATAATGATAATTATAATTACAATTACAATTATAATTTTTAAAATGATAATAAATAAATAATAATTAAAATATAATTTATGTAAAATGATGAATCTGCACAAAATTCAAACGATTAAAAAGAAGAGTTTTGATATTAAGTGAGATAATGAATGATGAGGTTGATATTGGAACTTACAAAAAAACTGACAGAAAAATCACTTGTTGTTGGAGTTGTTTTAAGAATAGAGCTCTACATGTACTTTCAAATTTTACTCTTTCAGTTTTACTCTATAACGTGACAAACAATAATAAGATATTTTCATCATGTTGATTCCAGAAAAAAAGTGTCAACATCAAGGATTTGTGAGAGAGAATAAAAGTTGGGAGTAAAAAAGGGAGTAGTTGTATTATTTTCTTGGAATAAGGTTCAAATTGGCCACTGAACATAACCTGAAAATGCAATTAGGCCACTGAACGAACAAAAAGTGCAATTAGGCCACTGAACACTTCAAAAACGTGCAATTAGGCCACTGAACTCTCCAAACGTATGCAATTTCACCGGATAGCAAGTTACCATCAATTTTAGCAGGTTACCTGCTTACGTGGCAGCTGAGTTAGCATTTTAAATAATTTTTAATAATTAATTTTAATAATAAATTTTATAAAAAAAATTGAAAAAATTTAAATAAAAATAAAATAAAGTCGTTTTTATTTTTTAAAAAAAATTTTTAAATAAAAATTTATTATTAAAATTTATTAAAAATAATTTAAAATTTATTAAAAATGCCAACTCAGCTGCCACGTAAGCAGATAACCTGCTAAAATTGAGGGTAACCTGCTATCAGGTGAAATTGCACATTTTTAGAGTGTTTAGTGGCTTAATTGCACTTTTTTTTTCGTTCAATGGCCTAATTGCATTTTCAGGTTACGTTCAGTAATTGAACCTTATCCCTATTTTCTTTAAGAATAAAATGAGAATAATTGATGTACCAATTTGTCATTTTAATGCTTAATCATTACGATTGGTCTCTGCATAAAGAAAAGAAAATAAAGAAAGACTTTGCCGACGACTCGTTGACTTGATAGTTCATAAAAGAAAAGAAAGAGGAGAGATGAAACAGAGGGAGGGAGATAATGGAGGCAGTGGTGAACGTGTTGGTGGAGAACTTGACGGAGTTACTGTACGAGAACTTCCAGCTAATCTCCGACGTAGAAGACGACGTGAAGAAGCTCCTCCGCTTCGTCAATGGCTTCAAGTCCTTCCTCAAAGAATCCCGAAAAATCCGGACGGAAAATGACATCGTGAAGCAGCTGGAGAAGGAGATCATGGACGTCGTCTACCGCTCCGAAAACCTCATCGACCAATACGTGGTCGACGCCAAGATCCACGCCGAGAGGTTCACCAGTTTCCTCGATTACCCCTTGAAAAGAGAGGTCGCCAGAAAGATCAAAGCAATTCTCGAGGAAATCAAGGTAATCCAGGACAAGAAGGAGTATCAGAAAGTGATCGAAGATAAAGTGTTGCCCCGAGAACTTGCCCAGTCTGTGCTGCAGCAGCAGCAGAAGGTACATTTCTCATTCTTTTTTACGGAGTATTTTTTTTTCATTCATTTTTAAAGATATAAAATTTAATTTGAAGTATTGAATTCTTTTAGATTTTAATCTACTATAAATTTTTTCATGTAAACGGTTAAGTGAAATTAGGGCTCCTAAAATAAAGAAATTAGGACTTTGTTTCCTAGGTGAAAAGCAATTGATGCAATGATCATGACTTTTCAATTTTATCATCGATGTTTAACATTTTTGGAAAAGTTAACTTGCATTATAATTGGAAATGATTCAACACTTAAAGGGCTAAATTTGGTAGTCTAAGTAATGACTAAATTAAAAAAGTAAGTGATAGTAATACGATTAAATTCTGAATTAAATCTCCTAATTAAACTATCAATTTTGAATTAAAAGCCTCATTCTTCATAAGCATAACAATTATATCCACATCCTTCAAATTTTATATTATTAATGACAAATCTGTGTATTTGTGACAATTGTATCAAATTAAATTATCTGACTTTAGACCAGGACTATGTGGTCTAATGGTACTCGGGTTGGACTTCCATTTGGAAGATTGTGAGTTCAAGCCTCAGTGGAGGCGTTATTGGCTCTTTGTGTTTCAGTAGGTTGAGAAAGTATATGAACAGATATTACAATGTAATAGAACTAGTAGCATTCAAAAAAAAAAAAAAATTATCTGACTTTAGAAAAAAAAATTAATATTATTGAGTTGCCAAACAAATTATTTAAAAAATTAAAGGGAAAACGGCACTTTTGGTCCCTCAATTGTTTTACTTTTGGAAATTTAACCCTTGTCAATTGATTTGAGCAAACTTAACCCTTTAATTGTTCATAATGTAGCACATTTGGTCTCTCATGTTATATAATTAAAATTGTTTTTAGTAATTTATATAATTTATTTATTCAAAATTAAAAATATTTTTTTATTATAAATAAATACATGAATTAAAAAAAAATTAAAAATTAAAAAAAATATATAATATAATATTATTTCTTCAAGTTGCTGTATACATATATATAAATTATATATGTATAAATGAATTTAATTAATTAGTAAAAGTGAAATGTTGATTTTAGTTGATTAAATTGTGGTGTAAAGCAATTATGTTATCGAATCTTCAAGTTGCCGTATACATATATATAAATTATATATGTATAAATGAATTTAATTAATTAGTAATAGACCAGGACTATGTGGTTTAATGGTATCCGGGTTGGACTTCCATTTGGAAGGTTGTGAGTTTGAACCTCAGTGGAGGTGTTATTAGCTCTTTGTGTTTCAGTAGGTTGAGAAGGTATATGAACAGATACTACTATGTAATAGAGCTAGTAGCATTCAAAAAAAATTAATTAGTAATAGTGAAATGTTGATTTTAGTTGACTAAATTGTGGTGTAAAGCAATTATGTTATAGAATGTTGAAGTGGAGGAAATTTTCGGAAATTTTAATTTTTTTTTCAATTATGTTATAGAATGTTGAAGTGGAGGAAATTTTCGGAAATTTTAATTTTTTTTTAATTTTTTTAATTCATGTATTTATTTATAATAAAAAATATTTTTAATTTTGAATAAATAAATTATATAAATTATTAAAAATAATTCTAATTATATAATATGAGGGACCAAATGTGACACATTAAGGACAATTAAATGGTTAGATTTGTTCAAATCAACTGACAGGGATTAAATTTTCAAAAGTAAAACAATTGAGGGCTAAAAGCGCCATTTTCCCAAAATTAAATGATAAATCAATTTTGGAAACATAATGTTTATTTCATACCAGTATACCACTAAGGCTTTGTTTGGTATATCTTATTTTAGAGCTTCTAGTTATAAGCTCTGTTTAGTAAAACATATGAAGTTTAAAATAATACAGCTTATTTTGAAACGTTGTCCTAAGTAGCAGTTCAAAATAAGGTCCTGAATTTTTAACTTTTGTTTTTCCATTTTTATCTTTACTAATTTGCAAAAATAACATCATCTACCCTTCATTAATCAAATTCCTAATATCTTAGTTTATTCTTTTATGTCTTTTTACACTTATCATCTAATTCAACAATTAATTTTACCAAACACTTTAATTTCAATTAGTTAGTTTATTAGCTACTAGCTTTCCCGCTTTAAGCTTTCAACTAGGCATGCCAAACCGAGCCTAAATTAAAAGAGTTTAGTATTTTTTTTTTTTAGTGTCAATTAATATAATTACATATGATTGCCGCAAGAAACAAAGTTTTGATATTAAATTGACAAAATTTAAATGTTGGAATATAATTGTCACAAAATATATTGATTCTTTTCACCAATAAGTCTCATATCTTTCCTATATTAGGAGTCTCATGTTTTGATAATGCAAATGCTAACTCAGATCATCTATTAACCTTAAAAAGGTACCCAGAGTTGAAGAAGAGTATGTGGTAGGGTTTGATGAAGAGGCAAAAATAATTATCCAACGTCTTAGGGAGGGATCCAGTTATGGAGTTATTTCAGTTTTTGGTATGCCTGGCCTTGGAAAAACCACATTGGCCAACAAGGTGTTCAAGTCGGAGGAAATCGAATATCATTTCATGTATCGTGTTTGGATATATGTTTCCCAGTTCTACAAGAAAAGGGATGTCTATCTACAAATTCTGAAGAAATTACAACAGCCCCATGATTGTGATATAAAGGTGACTGAAGAGGAATTAGCTAGCAAGATTAAAGAAGTTTTGGGGCATGTAAAGTATTTTGTTGTGCTGGATGATGTTTGGTCCGTAGACGCATTCAATGATATCCAGGATGCTTTTCCAAAGAGCAAAGGTAGTAGAGTCTTGGTTACTACTCGGGAGGAGAGAGTGGCGACCATTGTGAGGTCTCTGGGAGAGCCTCACCGCTTGAAATTTTTAGAGCCTAAAGAAAGCTGGGAGCTACTTGAGAAGAAGGTTTTTCGTGAGGAAAGATGCCCCGATGACTTGAAAGAGTATGGTGAAGAGATAGCAAAAAAATGTGATGGACTACCACTAGCGGTAGTGATAATTGCTGGTATTCTCTTAGGAAAATCGAAAACTCGGTTAGAATGGCGCAATGTGGCTATCAGTTTTAGTGATTTCCTTAGAATGAATATAGAGAGCTACCAGAGGTTAATACAATTAAGTTATGATCATTTGCCCGATGACTTAAAGAGTTGCTTCCTTTATTTGGGAGCCTTTCCCAATGGCAATCATATCCCCGCTGCAAAACTGATGCAGCTATGGATTGCAGAGGGATTTATTGAAGAAGAAGGAGTATTAACTATGGAAGTCATAGCAGGTGAAAAGTTGTGTAGTTTAGTCAGTAGGAATCTTGTTATGGCTACACAAAGAAAGACAGATGGTCAAATCAAAACATGTCGTGTTCACGACATGTTGCTCCAGTTTTGCAAGAAGGAAGCTAAGGCTGAAGATTTATTCAATGAAATCAATGAAACCAACATCAGGAATCAACAAGATTCTTGTCGCCGTCTGAGTGTTCACTGCTCTTTTAAAGAGTTCATCTCTTCAAAGCAGAATCCAGAATATGTCCGGTCATTGCTATGTTTTGCCTCGAATAGAATCGAAATGCCTCCACAAATAATTCAATCACTCCGCAAGGCCTTTCCATTGTTGAGGGTGTTGCACTTTGCACCAGATGAATCGATCATTTTCATGCGTTGTCATAGAGATTTTTCTCGGTTATTTCATCTTAGGTACATCGCTATCTCGACTACACTCAAAACCCTCCCTACAGAGATTGGGAACTTGCGGAATGTGCAGACTCTTATTGTTAGGACATCAGAGAGTACTCTTGAAATCAAAGGAGATATATGGAGCATGTCAAGGTTAAGGCATTTGCAAACTAATTCTTCTGCCAAACTTCCTCCCCCTTCCTCTTCAAAAACCAAGAAAGATCCGTTTCCAAATCAAAACTTGCAAACCCTTTCTAAGGTTTCGCCTTTAAGCTGCACGGCTGCTGCACTTGCCAAGGCCCCCAATCTCAAGAAATTGGGCATTCGGGGGACTTTGGCTAAACTATTTGAGACAGACAAAATTAGTGGATCTAGTTTGTTCAAAAACCTCAGAGAGTTGAAGTTTCTGGAAAATCTTAAGCTGTGGAATGACGGGGAGGAACTTCAACACCTTCCTCAAAAGTATGAATTTCCAACGAACCTAACAAAGCTGACCCTGTCAAAGACCTACCTCCCATGGTGTGAATTGTCTGTGTTGGGAACACTAGAGAAACTTGAAATCCTCAAGTTGATTGAGCATGCAGTTGTAGGAGAGTATTGGGAGCCAATCATTGGTGGTTTTCTTTGTCTTCAGGTCTTGCATATTGAGAGGACCGACTTAAGGTCCTTGAAAGCTTCAAATAAACACTTCCCAAGACTCAAGAGCCTTGCTCTTAGGCACTGTGAGAAGCTTGAGGCGATCCCACTTGCCCTGGCTGATATAAGCAGTCTAGAGATAGACTTGAACCATAGCAAGATGGCAATCCCGTCTGCACAAGATATACTCAAGCAGAAACAGCAGAAACAGGACCCAACCGAAAAACCCACCCATAGATTCAAGCTCACTATCTATCCTCCTTTGGATCCTTCTCAAGCAAGCTAGCTTTGGCAGGTTAGTTTAACTGGTTTTCATTTTATTACTTAGTCGTCACGTCTATATTGTATTCTTTTACAAGAGGTGTGTGGCATGCAGCTAGGAAATCTGTACTTTGTAATTGTCTTCCTTGTTGTGATATGATTATGTTAACAGCATGGTTTTATATTCAAAACTGAATTATATATGTACAAAGATTCTGTCTGGGATTCCCTTTCTAACTGTAAACTGTGAGCAAGCATTTAAGGGTTCTTTCTTCATTTTTCTTATGTTTTCTTTAATTCTTTTAGGTGATACCTGCGAGAGTTGTGGTGGTTTTGGCTGTTGGATGTGATCATTGTTGATTCTTCAATTCCCAACTATTTCCTTATATAAATGTGCCAAGTGTGAGAGAGTCTTCTTAAAGAGTGTTGTTTTGAATTTGGACTGAATGAAGGCTGGATGTTTTGTTGTGTGTTGAGTGTTGACTAATTGAAAAATTAAAATTCTGTTTCTAGGCCAGGGTTGTGCAAAAGTAATGTTATCTTGGTAAATTTTATTGTGATAAATAGTTTATTTTCATTCTTATCTCACTGAAAATGATATCCATTTTGTAGGTGTACTGTTCAACTCTACGGAGTATTATTTATTTTATTTTCTATTGGTGTGAAGTCATAACGCATTGGAGGCTACTATTCCTACCCAGGAAGCTGTTTGATTTTGTCCATGCATGTTAGCAAAGACGACCAGGAGAGTCTACTCTCAATACTTAGCTAGCAGATGTTTTAAGGGTTGTTGACAATGAGATCGAACCATTTTGAAGCTGTTGTTAAGGTAAAATTAAGATTCATGACCTTATCATTTGTGAGCTGAGCTGCTTGAAAGTAAAGTATGTCTTCAAGATGATGTTTTCAATTAAGTCCCTTCATATTATAATTAACTACAATGGATCTGTTATTGGTTTGTGATAGAACCAATGTGGCATTGTTACATATATGAATTTGAAATGTACTACCTCATCTCAATGCATTTATATATCTATCATATGTAGTTTAGAGTATGAATTTAGTTGTGAACAGTTACATGCCTCGTTCAGTAAACTGTAAATAACGTAAAGTAAGATTTAATGTGTTCTTATAATTAATATATATATATATATATATATATATATATATATATATATATATATTAAAAAACTTTAAGGTAGACAAGCTTTCTTAATCACTCTTTCATATATTTGTTCACAATGGCCTAAATCAAGTGACTGGGTGCAACCAGATTTCAAGCGGCAAGCACTAATGCTGCATATAAATTAATAAGCACGTGAGTGGTACCTGACTCGCACGGACCAGAGTAATTTAATTAACTTTACAAAAAGAGATGTACTATATATATTGTTGTATAGGAACAAATTAATTAAATATTATTGAGAAATGGATTGTTGTGTTTCACTTACCATATGATGAACTCCCTTTCAACTTGATGCATGCAGTTTTTCATAGTCAAAGAGGAAAGAAAAATTAAAGTTGCAGGCAGATGAGAGGTGTATAGCATTATCCTAATTCATAGCTAGCCCTCTCATCACACATGTATGTATGTCTTCTCCATAGCTTAGTACCCAAACCGAACAAATTAAAGGTTGAAAGCCTGAGTTGAAGTCACGCAGTCAGTGGTGCTGAGAGGAAACAGCTAGCAGCTCATCTCATCTGACTTCTGAGGGAGAACAAAAGATGGAACTAACGGCTTCAAAAGGATCGGAGCTACAAATTAAAAACATTACTTCAATACCCAATTAAGTCAATAGTTATGCTGTGCAACCGTGTGCACCTGGTGCACACGATTACAAAACGACGTCGTTTTGACTAAAAACGCGCGTCCCATTTAAAAAAATAAATTTAGTTTCGATTCCTCTCAACAGTATTATTGTGGATATTTAGTTCATTCATTGTGAATGTTTAGTTCATTCATTGCGGATATTTAGTTCATTCATTGTGGATATTTAGTTCATTCATTCTGAATTTTGTTTTATTCATTCACTGTGGATATATAGTTATGAATTTGTGAATATATAATTCAAATTATGCACAAAAAAATGCTATTGTCGGGAATCGAACCTGAAACTTTTTTTTTTAAAAGTGAGGCGCGTTTTTAATCAAAACGACGTCGTTTTTGCAACCGTGTGCACCATGCACAGCAAAATTTGCGCAATTAAGTCGATCGCTTCAAGGAAACTAAGACTTAATATATATCTACTATCTACTATATATCTATCTACTATACTAATAAGAGCCCAAGAGAGTTAGGCCTATAATGAGTAAAAAAAATGGCGGTCAAATTTTTTAATCAAATGAATGGTTCAGATTGATCAGATTTTAATTTTTCCTTAAGTTTTCCTAATTTATCCTTAATGAATATGATTATCTGTTAACTTTTTCGTTAAATATTATTTTTTTCGTTAATTTCGGTTAGTTCACCGTTAACTTATTCATTGATTTCAATAAGAAAGGTCTTAGGTTTGAACCCCATCCCAATCAAAATTGGAATAATTGGTACTCTATTTTACTCTTATTAAATAAAAATAATTTAGTAGCTACAACAAAAAATAATACATATGCATTTCTTTAATTTAGAATTATGTGTCTACAATGTCTTTATTAAAAAAAAAAATCATTATCAATAAATTAAATAAGAGAAATAATTTTATTAGTTATATTGTCTTTATATTTCTCCAATGTAAAAATTCTTTACATTCAAATTCATCAATTGATTATATTCACTACATTGTCTATTATTTTTTTTTGTGCACTATTTTTTAATTAAATATCAAAGTTATAATACAAAATAATGCTATATATTTATTTACCAAGTATTTTATTAATACCATGAAAAAAAATTAAAAAAATATAATTAATAAACTCAATCATATTAACAACTTGAGGGATTTGTTGACAAAGATAGTATTCAAATCACACAACAAATTGAAGTAAGAGCTACCGCGCAGTGTCCTTGTTTGACAATCAGCAGTTAGCAGTTAGCGTTAACGGATTATATTAGCGAATTTGACCAGCGAATTATATCAACGGTTGGTAAAAAGATATTTAAAAAATTAGCTGTTTATATTAACATGTAAAACGAGCTAAGGGTATAATAATAATAATAATAATAATAATAATAATAATAATAATAATAATAATAATAATAATAATAATAATAATAATAATAATAATAATAATAATAATAATAATAATAATAATAATAAATAATAATAATAATAATAATTGTTTTTAAAAATTAAAAAAAATATAATTAAACCAATCATATTAACTATTTGGGGGTTTATTGATAAAAAATAGTATTCAAATCACACAACAAATTGAAGTGGGAAACTATCTCGCAATGTCCTTGTTTGACAATCAGCAGTTAGCTCTTCAATATTAGTATATATTTGATATTTTATGCCATAATTTTTATTTGCTCTCCCTTATGTCCCGTATTTGGTTTCAATCTACATTCACAACCATATCTATACACTTATTTTATTGACAATTATAATCAATCTTGACTATATTATCTTGCATTTGTAAACTTAGAATTGCCTATTTAGATACGCAAATTTAACATTCAATTATCTATGCATTAACAATTCCAATATAATCTTGCCTTGATATACTTTAAAGTACTTATTTAAAAAAAAAAAAAAAAAAAAAAAGAAAAGAACATTGGGCATTATCCCAATCGCGCAATGCGCGTAAAAAACTAGTGTATATATCTGCTATACTAATAAGATCTACTATACTAATAAGAGCCCAAGAGAGTTAGGCCTATAATTGGTAGAAAAAATGGCGGTCACAGATTTTAATCAAATGAATGGCTCAGATTGATTAAAAGATTGATCAGATTTAAATTTTACACTAAATTTCCTAAAATACCCACACACCGTTACTAATTCCGTTAAAATTTTAAGAATTGCCGTTAGTTCACCGTTAACTTACTCATTGATTTCAATAAAAAAAAAAAAGGTCTTAGGTTCGAACCGCATCCCAATCAAAGTTGGCATAATTAGTACTCTATTTTACTCTTATTAAATTATATAAATAATAATTTAGTAGTTACAACAAAAAATAATACATATGCATTTCTTTAATTTAGAATTATGTATCCACAATGCCTTTATTCAAAAAAAAATTATTCATTATCAATAAATTAAATAAGAGAAATAATTTTATTAGTTATATTGTCTTTATTTTTCTTCAATATAAAAATTCTCTATATTCAAATTTATTAATTGATTATATTCGCTACATTGTCCTTACAATGTCTTTATTCAGTGAAAAAAAATTATTAATTATCAATAAATTAATTAAAATCTACTATACTAATAAGAGCCCAAGAGAGTTAGGCATATAATTGATAGAAAAAATGGCGGTCACAGATTTTAATCAAATGAATGGCTCAGATTGATTAAAAGATTGATCAGATTTAAATTTTACACTAAATTTCCTAAAATACCCACACATCGTTACTAATTCCGTTAAAATTTTAAGAATTGCCGTTAGTTCACCGTTAACTTACTCATTGATTTCAATAATAAAAAAAAGGTCTTAGGTTCGAACCTCATCCCAATCAAAGTTGGCATAATTAGTACTCTATTTTACTCTTATTAAATTACATAAATAATAATATAGTAGTTACAACAAAAAACAATACATATGCATTTCTTTAATTTAGAATTATGTGTCCACAATGCCTTTATTCAAAAAAAAATTATTCATTATCAATAAATTAAATAAGAGAAATAATTTTATTAGTTATATTGTCTTTATTTTTCTTCAATATAAAAATTCTCTATATTCAAATTTATTAATTGATTATATTCGCTACATTGTCCTTACAATGTCTTTATTCAGTGAAAAAAAATTATTAATTATCAATAAATTAATTAAAATCTACTATACTAATAAGAGCCCAAAAGAGTTAGGCCTATAATTGGTAGAAAAAATGGCGGTCACAGATTTTAATCAAATGAATGGATCAGATTGATTAAAAGATTGATCAGATTTAAATTTTACACTAAATTTCCTAAAATACCCCCACACCGTTACTAATTCCGTTAAAATTTTAAGAATTGCCGTTAGTTCACCGTTAACTTACTCATTGATTTCAATAAAAAAAAAAAAAAGGTCTTAGGTTCGAACCTCATCCCAATCAAAGTTGACATAATTAGTACTCTATTTTACTCTTATTAAATTATATAAATAATAATTTATTAGTTACAACAAGAAATAATACATATGCATTTCTTTAATTTAGAATTATGTGTCCACAATGCCTTTATTCAAAAAAAAATTATTCATTATCAATAAATTAAATAAGAGAAATAATTTTATTAGTTATATTGTCTTTATTTTTCTTCAATATAAAAATTCTCTATATTCAAATTTATTAATGGATTATATTCGCTACATTGTCCTTACAATGTCTTTATTCAGTGAAAAAAATTATTAATTATCAATAAATTAATTAAAAGAAATATTTTCATTAGTTAAATTGTCTTTATTTTTCTCAAATGTAAAAATTTTTACATTCAATTTCATCAATTGATTATATTCACTACATTATCTATTATGTTTTTTGTGCACTATTTTTCTAATTAAATATTAAAGTTATAATACAAAATAATGCTATATATTTATTTACCAAGTATTTTATTAATACCATGAAAAAATTAAAAAAAAGATATAATTAATAAAGCCAACCATATTAACTATTTGAGAGATTTTGTGACAAAGAGAGTATTCAAATTACACAACAAATTGAAGTGAGAACTACCTCGCAATGTCCTTGTTTGACAAGGAGCAGTTAGCGGATTTGACCAGCGAATTTATTTATTTTTTTTTTTTTGAACTGGCTCTATTACATTGTAGTATTTGTTCATATACTTTCTCAACCTACTGAAACACAAAGAACCAA